TAGTATTTTTCTTATTTATTAATTGAGTTTTTGTACTTTCTGTAATTCTTCTTTTTTTCAAAAAAATCTTATTGTTTTGTACCATGGGTTAATTTACCTCTTCATCATTATATTATGAATTCATTGAAACCAGACAGTCAACACAAATAGTATTCTATTGTTTTCGAAAGTTAGCTAAGTATTTTTGAATGAATAATTTTTCACACCTCCCATTCCCTTTATAGTTTTTATCAATACACAATATAAAAAGGGAATATTACCAATATAACCAAGTCACTTTAGCATTAACGTTTATAACACTCATTGTGTTTAGCATGACAGATTGTCATAAAAGTGATATTTCGAGTCATACTTATAGAGCTGCAGATGAAATTGTGCTATTATTTTAATGCAGCAGTTCTGATCATTCCATACTGTGTCTGAATTTGACAAATTGCTGCAGTTTTCTTTTCCATCAATTGAAGACATGGCCTGATTTACCCTCTCAGCTGCTACAAGGCCAGCTTCCTCAATGAGCCCCAGCCCATCATATCTATGGAGCTTGGTGTATGGGATTGGATGGACATGAGTAGTTTGGGGTATGTGACTGGATGGTTGAATGTGACTAGTTTGGGGTATGTGATTAGATGAATGTGACTAATTTGGGGTATGTGATTGGATGGTTAAATGTGACTAGTTTGGGGTATGTGATTGGATGAATTTGACTAGTTTGGGGTATGTGATTGGATGAATTTGACTAGTTTGGGGTATGTGATTAGATGGATGTGACTAGTTTGGGGTATGTGATTGGATAGGTGAATGTGACTAGTTTTGGGTATGTGATTGGATAGATGGATGTGACTAGTTTGGGGTAAGTGATTGGATAGGTGAATGTAACTAGTTTGGGGTATTTGATTAGATGAATGTGACTAATTTGGGGTATGTGATTGGATGCTTAAATGTGACTAGTTTGGGGTATGTGTTTGGATGGGTTAATGTGGCTAGTTTGTGGTATGTGATTGGATGAATTTGACAAGTTTGGGGTATGTGATTGGATGAATTTGACTAGTTTGGGGTATGTGATTGGATGGATGTGACTAGTTTGGGGTATGTGATTGGATGGATGTGACTAGTTTGGGGTATGTGATTGGATGGATGTGACTAGTTTGGGGTATGTGATTGGATGGATGAATTTGACTAGTTTGGGGTATGTGATTGGATGGGTGAATGTGACTAGTTTGGGGTATGTGATTGGATGAATTTGACTAGTTTGGGGTATGTGATTGGATGAATTTGACTAGTTTGGGGTATGTGATTGGATGGATGTGACTAGTTTGGGGTATGTGATTGGATGGATGTGACTAGTTTGGGGTATGTTATTGGATAGATGGATGTGACTAGTTTGGGGTATGTGATTGGATGAATGAATGTGACTAGTTTGGGGTATGTGGTTGGATGTGACTAGTTTGGGGTATGGGATTGGATGGATGTGACTAGTTTGGGGTATGTGATTGAATGAATGAATGTGACTAGTTTGGGGTATGTGGTTGGATGGATGTGACTAGTTTGGGGTATGTTATTGGATGGATGTGACTAGTTTATGGTATTTGAATGGATGGATGGATGTGACTAGTTTGAGGTATGTGATTGGATGGGTGAATGTGACTAGTTTGTGGTATGTGATTGGATGCATGAATGTGACTAGTTTGGGATGTCTGGTAATTATGACTAGGTGGCTGGTTGGATGGCAATAAGTGCACGGTGGGTAGGGGAAGGTGACATGTTATGTTGTCAA